TAAAAAACTCTAAGCTCTCAAGAATATGCTTAAATTTATTAACACATAAAATGACATAAATAATTCTTTATTAAAGTTCTTTTTTATTATCTAAGCACAATGCAGCTTGTACTATTGCTTGTAACAACCTCCAATGATGTGAAATTCATCAAACTAGTCAACTCCATGTGAACAAAAACTCATAAATCTTTATTTTTCATAAAAATTGCACTCATATGGCCTAATGTGCAATATTAAATTTATGAAACTAACCCAATATTAAAAATATGTTCAACCACATTTAGAAGAACAGATATTCAACATGTGTTACACATTATTAAGAAGAGAGAAATAGAAATGTGAAAGATATAGATTTGATGGATATCCACTTTGCATGGCAGCATTTATTTATTTAATTTCCTGTCCCTTTTTAATTATAAAAATATCAAAGACATATTACATCACATACTAAACGTTTTTTTTTTTAACATAAAAATTAAGGTAAATTAAATTAGTAAAAGAGTTCAACTAAGATTTCGTTTGGAATAACTTTTTTATTATTTTCTAAAATAATTTTTAGTTAAAAATTTCTGATTCAAAAAATTTTTGTAATAAAAAATTGTTTTAGAAAAAAAAAATTGTCTCAAAAGAAGGATAAGACTAATGTGATTGGATATGACCAAATACTAAATTCAATATATATAATAATGTATTTAAAGACCTTATATATTGTGATAATTATAAATAAATTATAAGCTTTTTTAATTTATTTGGGAGGATATAAATATTTGTAAAAATAGTTGAAGAACTATTGTGATAAAAATATGGTATGCATCATATACAAGTCATATGAGGTTGATTAAATAATCATTGGATATGCTTTGAGATTAGTGCAATACAATTATTTATATAAAAAATATTGTACTTTAAATAAATAAATTTTAATGAGATTTTTTATGTGTTTTAGAGATTCAAGTGTTATATAAGTAAATATAAAAATTTCGATGTTAGATGTGTAAATATATTAGAATTTTATGGTATTTATGTAAATTCCCTAAATTTTTTTCTCTACCACCATCCTTCAAAATTGAAAAATATGAATTAGAGCTGTTTTAAAAAAATTATATTTAAATTGAATTTCTAAAATTATTTATTTATTTATATAAAAATAATTATGATTTTTTTCATACAAAATATAAAATAAACATTGCATTACTAAATGACTAAAGTTTCTATGCTTAGTATATGTTTAAGCATTGTATAATTATTTTTAGGAGAAATTTACAGCACCATAAATATAAATAAAAATAAATATAAAAAGCCTAAATAATTTATTATCAACTGTGCAATCTTAAAGGATAGGCAATTCGAGTTGATTAAATAAATAATTTATAAGAAATTTTGTTAAGACATTGTGATATAAATAAATAAATAAATTGTTCTATAAAAATGGTGCTTATATTCAAATAAGGCTTTATTTGCGACAGTTTTCTTACTGTTTTAGTAAGCAATTTCTTAGTAAAAAAAATTTTTGGAATTGAAATTTTAGTGCTAGAAAGCTGTTTCATAAATTAGTAAGAAGCCGAAGATTATTTTTTGATAAAATATATGATTATCTTGTTTCTCATTAGTTAACAGTTGTCTATTGCTTTGTATTGTGGGCAGTATGTTATCATTAAGCCAATACAACAGGTTCAAAATGGATCAAAATAATTATCTAATTTTTGTCTTGAGGTCTAAGAGCTCATTTGATTTGATGAAAAAACGAATGCATAGTACATTAGAATATAGTGTAAAAAATATGATGTATTTAAAATATTTGAATGAATATGAAGTAAATGTAGATTTTTTTTTTTATTTGAAGTAAAATGAATGTACTGTAAAGCTTTTTGATGGTGTTGGCTGATGGAAAGTGACGGCACCCATGATCAGCCATCGATAGCGGAGGCGATAGTGGTCATTTGGTGACGTGTAGTGACAACGAGAGAGCGAGTATGATACTGTATTGCAAGAGTGGAGTTAGCTTGCGGTGCATTTAGAATTCGGCCTTAAAGTGGATAGTTTTGAATGAATAAAAAATGAATTACAAAGAAGTCGTTTTGTTTGTTGAGACAAGAAAGCATAGCAAATTGTATTAAAATATTCAAAATTATTTGGATGAATGCGAACAAACGTATGTGAATAATTTTTTGTTATTTTTAAAGTAAATGAATGCAATGTAAAGCTCGATGATAGTAGCGGTTGGTGGTGGCTAGGGTGTAAGTGAGCCGAGCCGGCTCGAGCTCGACTCGATTATCAAGCTTCAAGCTCGAGCTCAAGCAGAATTTCTAGCTCTAGTTCAAGATAAGGTGATGCTCGGCTCGATTACTTTTGAGCGGCTCGATTAGCAAGAGCGAACCGCGAACAAACCACTGAAGGCGAAAGGCACGGGCGAAGGAGTGAATTTGTAAGAAAATGAATATCGAAGTGAATTCAAAATTCACAAAAAATTTACTCTATATTCTTTTTCCATCAAATCAAATATCAAAAATTCTAAAACCCTTATATTTAAAGTACTTAACAGTTTACACTCACTTTTCATCATACAAGATAGCCCCAAAAACAAATTTAAAATTCACCTAAAATTTCTTATGAATTCATTTTTCATCAAACCAAACATCAAATTCTAAAATCCTCAACATTTAGAATACATAGCACTCATTTTTTCTTCTAATCAAATAGCCCATAAGTAAAAATAAATATAAGAGTAAAATAATTTGATACCAAGAGAGAATTTGAACTTTGTTGAAGACTTTACTAACATATAAAAATGAAGATTACATAACTACCACCTTTTTCAACAAATATTTTGTCAAGGACAAAAAATGTGAATTAATATGAGAGATGATTCTAAATAATGGATCTAATAAGATGAAAATAGCCAACCATAGATAAAAAAAAATTTGCTTCTAATTGTTCAACCACTTGTTAAGCTTTTTAAACATTGATTCACAAACTACAATTGATATCCTATCTATATAAGAAGAAAAACAAGATATTTTATGGAAAGAGAGCTATGATTAATACCAATAATGTTATAAAGAAAAGGGCTAATTATCCTTAGTGATCAATACTAAGAATGTTTAATTATTCATAATTTTAATAAAAAGAATTTTCTACTTGTTAATTATGACTAATTTTTTATCCTATATTACTACTGAAAGTAAAAAAGAAAATCCTGAAAAATTTTGATAAATATTTATTTAGTATGATCGAATATCAACACATCATCAACATCGAATCTCTTATCAATTTCTTAATTATTTTGTTATTGCTTTAAAATGAAGAGAATGAGATATAACTAGACTATGAGGGTGATTTTTTTAGGATCATTTTGCTTTTAGATACTTGATTCCTAAGTAGGAAAATTTTGATAGATCAAGAGGGGATATACTTGGTATTCCTTCACTTTTTAGCTAAAATTAGAAGAGCTTAGCAATGAATCAAAATGCTTAGTCTCATCTCATTTATAAGCTAGCTAAGGGTTTTATAAGGTGAGCTAAAACACTTTGAGAAATAGTTGAAATGTAAAATAATGGTTTTAGCATCTCCTTGTTGCAAAGAATGCCATTTAGACATTTCACTAGATTTTGTTTTAATAGAATTGATTGACTTGAGTTACTTCAATCTTTGCTTATTTATCTTTGTGAAACCCTAGCAATCATATGGAGAATGGTAATAATTAGCATTGTAGTCATCTTCATTTATGTTGGCTGGTGGATTTTTTTTAAGGAGCAAGCATTTAATTTAAATTAGGAATATGAGTACAATATTAAAAAAAATTTTAAAAAAGAGAGCAAACTAGCCAAATAGAATGTCGCATTTCATTGAATTTATCAAACTGTTTGACGTATTTAGAATAAGTCAAACAGTTTGACACATTCAATGGAATGCACCATATTATTTTGCACATTCCATTGAATGCGCCCTTTAGTATGGGGCATTGCTACAGTTTCACATGGCTGACTAGGGGGAATGTAGTGTGAATGCGCCAAATGATTTGACACATTCTTTAGAATGCACATGTGTTCTTTAGAATGCACGTGTGTTCTTTAGAATATGCCAATTTGTTTGACATGTTTACTCCCTTTTAAATTTTAAAACTTACATGCTCACAGGGGTGTCAATATTTGACACAACCTGAAAATCCAACTCGAACCCGACCCAAAAATTTTGGATTGGGGGGACCCGAAACAGGTCGGGTTCTAGTTCAACAAATCAACCCGTTTTAAAAATCGGATCCGGTTCGGGTTGACTTGAAAACCCAAACTTGACCAATTTTTACCCGGAAACCCGAGATTGACCCGTTTTTACTTGAAAATCAGATATTGACCCATTTTTTGACAAAAAAACTAGCAATGTTTTGTCGGCCCCAGGTCATTTGGGTCGTGTCCTGTTGACTCGGACCCGAAGCGGGTTGGATTCAGGTCTGAAAAATCGACTCGTTTGCAAAAAATGGATCGGATTTGGGTTGACCCGAATAGTGCCAAGTTAGTTCCAGGTTCGACCCGAACCCGACCCATGATCCGATATTGACACCCCTACATGCTCCTACTACTAAAAATATAAATTATAAAAGCTCTTTAAAAAAAATATTTTGTCTTGTTGTGGAAAATATTTATCCTTAATTTAACAAAGTTAAAGATTTTAACCTACATAATTGCAGGATGGTTTAAGAGTCAGACTTTAATATCATACATTCATACATGAGTTAATATAATTTTTCTTAAAAACCAAAAAATGGAATCACTGTGATTTCTTCTTGATTCCACCATTACTAATGGCATACTTCAATATAATATTGATAGGAAGGATGTTATCCACCTTTCCCTTTTCACGTTAGGCTCCAATTTTAACGTTGGAGGAATAAAAAAAGGCGGCACAAGCATTTAAATTATAAAATAAACATTTAAAATAAAGTAACGTCTTTAATTAATAAAAAAAAAATCTTAAATTTCACAACAAAATGTCTGAAAATGTGAACCCCTCCAGAGTTCTCCTTTTTAAAGGGCCCGTTGGTGTGCTTATGCTCAACTTGCCCAGTCCTCGATTTGTGGAGTTGAGGAAGAAAAGGAGAAGAAACCAACCATGGCTCATATCTTAGCTGAGGAATGCAAGGAACTCACCAAGGCCCTCGCAGGTTTGATTCCTGGCGCCTTCTCTCTTCGAATGGATTCTAGTCACAGAAAAATTAGATTCATTTGTGTTGTGATATCTGATAAAAAAGTGATTTTTGATAAGGATTGGGAGGGCTTGGAGTGGAAGAGAAGTCTGTGGTGGCGGCAATGGGGAGATGGCGCCGCCGGCCAGAAACACTGGCCCAGTTCAGAAAAAACTTTGGTGGTCTATTTAAGGCTGATAATGGAAGCTTTGCACGAGTAGACCTTGATTACATTCATTTTCTCGAGTTCGAATATGCGAGGTTTAAGGTACTGAAGTTGTTTTCCTTTTCTTTACTTGATTGGAGCTTTCTTTTGTGTTTCTGGTGGTTTTGATCAAATTGAAAAACAAAAAAAGAAAAAACATAAAAGAAAAAGACAAAGACTTGATTAATCTTGTGGTCTCAGTGTTAGATTGTGTAGAAGAAGAAGGAGATTTGGGAAGAAAGGTAGCAGATTAGTCTCTCTACAGTTACCTGCTATTCCTTTGGCTAGGTTTTCTGTTTTGTAGAACTTTTCTTCTTGGCTTTCTTTTTTCCTTGCACATCTTAAATAAGCATTTTCTTTGAAGGAAACAAATATTGGATCCTCCATGAGTGAGAGGGGAAATTATTGGGTTCGGACACCGGACGTCGTCTAGAGCCCAATAAAAATGCGTCACATCACCCCCTACTCGGTACTGAGCAGTGCCAAGTCGGTACTGTGAAGTACCGAGCTCAGTATTATTTGGTACTGTGAAATACCGAACGGTAAGCTGTGTCTGGTGTCCGAACCCAATAATTCCCCCATGAGAGGAGGTTCTTCTTTAACGTTTCAAAATGTTGAGAAACTACATGAACTCAGAATTTCTATAAGTGCTTATTAAGACACCTCTTTACAGAACTTGACTTTTCAATGGGCAATGCATCCATGGGAAAGGGATGCTCGTTGGGCTCACCAAGTAATCCACAAAGGTCATTCCCCTACAATTCTTGTTGAAATTGCTTGCACTCGATCAGCAGCCGAGCTTTTAGGGGCAAGGAAGGCATATCATGCCTTATTTCATCATTCCCTTGAGGAAGAAGTTGCCTATAGCATCTCTGGAAGCCATGTTAATGTAAGTAATGCTCCACAATGCCTCATATTTCATATTGCAGTGAGGTCAATGACCTTCAAAATGTTGAAATTTCTGTTATTTATATTTATGTTTGCTTGTGGATTGCCTAATTTGGTTACTGGTTGTGAAATTTCCCTTTTTTTGTTGTATGGGACTGAACCAATAACATCCCCTAAAAAGGACTGAAGTAATTTATCTGTACCCCTCAAGGAGAAAAAAGTATTAGCTTACCTAATTTAGGGAATGTAATCATGATCTACACATAGTCAGTAAGTCAACTTTGTAATGAGCTGGCATTTATTCAGGAGTAGGTTTAGAAAGGGTGGATTACCTCGGTTCCCTCCCACGCGGGAAAAATTAAAACGGGTGGAGCAATCTTGGGTCACATTTGATCGTATCCGGGTATTCTCGGGTCAATTTCGGGTTTTGGGTTGACCCGGACCCGACCTATTTTTTAAATGGGTCAAAAATTGAAATTCGAACCCGACCCGTTTGTTAAACGGGTCGACCCTAACCTAGATTTTTTGGGTCGGGTTGGTGGGTCGTGTCAAAAATTGACAACCCTACTCAATTAGGTAACTAAGTGTGGTCGACTAGAGCTAGTAGGTGCATGTGCCCCTAGCTCCCCGATGTTTGATCCACCCATTGTTCGCGATGTTTTAGAGGTATGGTTCCTCTTGGGATTAATGGCTTCATGCAATTTTCAAAATGTTACAGAAACTTATGCAATAGCGAAAACATTAGTTTCTAACCAAGCTTTTATCTATGATTTCATGGATATAGTTTCTGGTCAGGCTTGTGAGCTCCTACAGATATGAAGGCCCTCATGTGCACGAGGAGATAGCAAAATCAGAGGCCAAAGCTCTCCATAATGCCATTCAGAAAAAAACACCAGAGAACCTCATAGTGAATGAGGATGTAGTGAGGATCCTTACTACGAGGAGCAAGTCGCAACTAAGAGTAACCTTCAAATTCTACAAGGAACTTTTTGGAAAGTCCATAGAAGAGGTGTCTTGTTTTCTCCTCGCTTAAGTTTAAGATATCTTACATGTGGATGACATTAGTCCCTACTTTTGCTTGAAGCAGTCAAAATTTTTATTTGTTTTGCATATTTGTAATTTGAACAATTTAAATATACTGATTTCTACATGCAATGAGCAGGATCTTGGAGATGAGCCATACATAATAGATGCAGTTGAGAGCATCAATTCAGCTCCAGTATATTTCAGCAAGGTAAATGATAGGAAGTACTTGTAGATCTCAAGTTGCCTATCAATCGTCATAAAAATAGCGAGCTTTCTCTATCAAAATCCACACAAATCCACAAAAAATAGTAGAAAATTTGTATTATATGATGAAAAGGAAACGGAAAATAGCAAGATACACTTGATCCTCTATTCGAGAGGAGGATCGATCTCTGCCAAATCTCTAGATGCTGCTAGAGCCAAAAAAACATAAATCTAGGAAGGAGATCTCAAATTTTAGCCAAATTCAAGATGCCCTAACCCTAAGCAAAACAAACTATTTAATGCATACAATGAAAAGGAAATCCCTAAACAGTCCCTATATTCAAATTTCCCTCCCAAATCCTTCAAAAATCCTTCCTAAAATGCTCCGCTTGGGCGTTTGGACCGCCGTCCGGTTCTATGCGAAATGGCTGGACCGGTTTAACAGTAAACAATCTAATATTCATGAAATAAATAATCTTTAATCAGCTCCAAATTCATTGCTTTTCACCTTTATCACTTTGGTTTTCAGTTGATAAACAAGGCTTTAAAAGATGGAGCAGATAATGACTCAAAAGAAGCTCTCAGCCGTGTGATTTTGTCGAGGTCTGATGTTGATATAGAGGAAATCAAAGAAGAGTATCTGAAGAGACATGGAACTAAACTCGAAGATGTTCTAAAAAAATTCACTCATGGTGTTTACAGGGATGCTTTAGTCTCCTTCGTTGAAGGGAAATAAGAAGACTGCATTTTACTTCTGCATCTGGGAATGACAAAATCAAGGCTTTGTTATGTTAAAATGTACTGTTAGCAACATGTTATTGTTCTTTGGATTTGGTTTTTGCATTGTATTTTGGAAATTGGAAAGAATATAAAAGGTTTATATGAAGGTAATAAAAAGCTTGCATTTTCCAAATGGAATGTCATTAGAAGCTTCTTTGTGTGAGAAAATAAAAAATTTGGTTCATGTGAGCTTCTGAGATTATTGATGTGTCATTGTTATGGTGCACTGGAGTGTGAGTGGTAGGACTTCAAGAAAGAAAGTTCACAGCTATGAAATTAATGAGTTTTGAGTTATATAAATGGTGAGAATATATATTTTTCAACTCATAAAAATTCGCCCACCTTGTACTGCATCAAGGTGACTAGGTGAGTTTGTTTTAGCTTTGCACAAAAGTTTCACACATAAAAACTAAAGTTTTATTTGGGACAATTTTTTTATTACTTTCTAAAGCATTTTTCTAGTTCAAACATTTTTTAAACTAAATGTTGCTTTACAAAGCAATATGAAAGCTGCCCCAATCGAAGCCTTGGGACGACCTTTTTATTGCTTTTTGAAATAAAATTTTAGTACAAAAAATGTGTCTATTTTAAAAAGCAATAAAAAAGTTTCTTACTGCTTCTTAAGCAACTTCTAGTATTTTTTTTACTATAAAACTGCTTTAAGAAGTACTAAAAAAATTATCCCAAACGAAGCCTAAATCTCATGAGGGTTTTTACGTAGGGAAATTAGAAAGGAAAAAATCATAAGGCTGAACTAAGTAAAAAAATCCACTATGTAAATTGATAGTTGCAATGCAGGTTGTTCACAAGGCTAAAAGCTTATTAAGAAAATACATAATTGGAGCGCCACACAGAAGATGGTCTCAAGATAGCATATTAAAATTCAATCTCTAAGTGAGAGATTAGAGATTACTCACATATGAAGGTAATTTCTCACCGAACTTGATTACAAGCTATATGAATTAATTATATGTGATTTTAATGCAGCCATAAAATCTCTACTTAGGGTTCGTTTGGGACAACTTTATTGCTATTTTCTTAAAGCAGCTTTCTTGCACGAAATTTTTTAGTTCAAGAATTTTTCGTACTACAAAGCTATTTTATAAAACAGTAAGAAAGCTGTCCCAAACGAAACCTTAATCTCTATAATTTATTATCTACCCCTCTAAGCATGATATTAGAAGATGCCTAAATGGTATTGAAGGATATTAGCCATTCTTCACCTTTGTTCGATCGCATGAAGAAGCATAGATGGAGCAGGTGGATGTCATATGGATAGATTCATCAAAAGGTGATAGTTGAAAGCTGGAGGCCATCATAAGAGGATATCACTTTTTCTTCTGATGTTTATCCTTACAAACTACTTTCAATCTCACAATAACCATTATTTTTGAGCTGGATTCATTAATTAATTCATAAAATACTCAATAAGATGACCGCCGCCCTCACCTGCAAGCCGTAGTCGCGCAACTTGCGCTCAAGCTCGCAACACACGCTCTCACACCAACGGGTTAGCAGGTCAACCCGAAACCTGGTTGGTTGGATTCAGGTCAATTGAATTGGATCCAGATCAATTTTGATTCAACCCGAACTTGACCCGAATACCCATTTTGACACCCCTAATCTTTCCTTTCACTTTCCTCCAATCTAAACCATCATCTAAAGACAAATGTAAATCATTTTCAATTCATATGACATGTCACATCATATCATATCATCATCATCATTTTCTATGTAAACCGACCACTTTATGTGAACTAACAGTAAACCTTCATGAAAAACATAAATGAATTCAAAGAATTCAATCCAGTAAAAAGGAGCAGAATTTAAAAATCTGTTCTGACCGACCAGTTCAACAGTTCAAACAGTGAATCAGATCCTTAAACAATTCAAAAACATCAACAAATCAGCCTTACAAATAACCTGAATAAAACTCATTAAACTGCTACTCGAATAGTGAACCGAGAAACTGGATATGATTTCTACGAACAGGAGGCTTTTTTTGTAAAAATTAACAATTAGTTATAGAATTATTAAAAACTTTGATGATAATCCTTAAATATTCAACAAAATGAAATAAAATCATCCTCCATTTATCTTAAACATCATAAAGGATGCCACCAACCAAATCCACTGCTCATTTCAATCTATTTTTAGCTTTGACTTTCCTTTCATTGACAGCAACATTGCAAATAAAATTTCAGAGCGTTGAGATCCACCAATAATATGCTTTTGAGTAATGCTACACTTTCTTTCAGAGTTCAATAGATAAACTGTCACTTGTCCATGACAAACATGTTAATGTGATCCATAGGAGTAAAGAGAATCCTAAGCATAAATTCACTAGTGATCACGAAAGAGATTAAGAGCCGGTTTTCAGGTCGAGATCAAATCATTAATAGTCTAAGGCTTCGTTTGGAATGGCTTTCTTCTTAAAGCAGCGTTTTAGTATAAAAATTTTATACTAAAATGTTGTTTCAAGAAACAGTAAGAAAGCCGTCCCCAAACGAAGCCTAAGTTATAAGATACAAGAATGAAAGATGAAGTTTCTTAATGTCAATATTATATAGTTGACACAAATCAATAATGATGATAACAACATTAAAATTTTCTCAAAGCAAAAGAGCAACACCTTAAGAAGAAAAGCAAGAAAGCTCATATTCTGAGATAATTTGTGAAAGGTAAACAAATAATATTATATGGGAGATCATTCACCTCCTACTGTGGTGAATTATGAAGAATCTTTCTTTACTTTGGCAATTTCACTTGTCATCAAAAACCGCTTATATAATATAAGGTCATTTCAACATAAAGAGGAGACACCAATCAGCTCTTCCACTATATAAAATGAGCACATGCGTGCAGGATAATATGATGGCCTCTTCACAGTCTCTCTCACTTTGATCATGTGAAGTCACACTATCATATATAATTCTGATACGAATGATAGTGTGACTTCACATGATTAAAGTGAGAGAAATTGTAAAGGGGCTATAAAAATAATAAACTTATAAAGAAGCTTACAAGCCAAAGATTCTGCTTTGTGCAACATCATATGGAGCAAATTTCATTAGATGGGTTGCTGAAACTGAAAAAAGATTGGTACATAAACTATCCGAGTTTCTGTTTTCTTTATTGGTCTCTGTTTTATACAATTAAGGAAGAGATCAACATATTGATCACAAAAGAAGCTTCAGATTTTTGGGTTGCTATAAAGAATATTGGTCTCACCTTGCAATAAAATTTTCAAACATTTATGAAAGACTAATGATCTTTAGTGGACAGAACATTGGTTTTCCACTTCTCAAAACAAGTTAATAGTTTGCGGATAATACTTGAGATTTGCAAGTAAAGTTTGTTCTTATAAAGCACTAAGAGAAAACATCAGAAACAAGGCTAAAACAAAGAGAGCTGAAACAATCCTGCAGTTCTCATACACAGGTTTGATTGATGCTATAGAAACTTGAAGTGAAAATAAGAAATCAGGAATCTAATAATGTTTAACAGATGAAAACTAAGGGCCTATTTGGAATCCCTTCTTATTTTTGCTTTGTTTTATATATAGTTTAAAATAAAATAAATATATGTTCAGTATTCTAATTTCTAAATAGTGTTGTTTTGTGTTTTTATTGTATATCACATAAGATGATGATGATGATGGCCGGCGATTGTGGCCAAAGGCTGATGGCCGGCGATTGTGGCCAAAGCCCATGGTGACAAGTGGCCGGTGGTGGCGGGCAATATTTGAGGTGATTTTTCATTTTAAAAAAAATGTGAAAATACTTCAAAAACACCTAAGATTTGTTTTGAGTATTTTAAAAAATAACTTGCTTTATTTTCACAAAAACAAAAACATAAATAAAACACATATCAAATATTTTTTTTTACAAACAAACATAAAATGTGATCCCATATAGCAGCCCCTATGGATTTTATACCTTGCACTGCAAGGGAAAAAAATACTCAAAATATCTTAAATTTTTCGTAATCCTTTTAGAAAAAGAAGTATAAACTAGATATGTAATGCCAAATAGGAATAGTCTCCTTCACAATCTTACGCACCTATGCATTATGATGATTAATTAGGTGAGTACTAAGTACTCTTCCATATCAACAGACCTTGCTATCATCCAAAAAAAATTTCTGGTATTACATGACACATAAACCACTAATTTTCAGGTAATAGAAATTTAAATAGAAATTTTTGAGAAGCCGTTCACTCTACTGATAACCATAGACATAACCATAAGTTTTCAGAAAAATGCAAGATTTCTAAACTTCCAATCAGAAGAAAGTCGTCTTAATTTCAGAAAGATGAAATCTGTCCAACGAATTGAAATCTAACTCTTTAAGCTTCCATCAAGATAATTGGAAAAGAGAGAAATAAAGAGTGAAACAATGCTAGACAAAATTAGAAGCAAATTGATGCATCAGACCATCAGTTTATAACTCTAAATGCAAAATCAATAAAATAATTCATCTTTAGGGGATGTTTGGTAGTAGGATTTAGGTCGGATTTGAGGCAGATTTGAGCGAAATCTAGCCAAACAGCCTAAAATGCAAAACCAAATCTCGCAGCAAATGAAAGCCGCCGTAGACGGAAAATTCCGCCTTTCGGTTAAATCCCGGATTTCTGAAATCTTGTTTTTTGCCAAATTTATCAAATCCGTTCACTCGAGAGGAAGAGTCCACTTGTTAAATCTGTTCTATAGCCAAACAGTTACACATGATTTAATAGGATTTATCATGTATATTATCAAACAGTTTTCAGGATTTAGACACTTTTAAAATTTATGAAATCCTACTTAAATCAAATCCTGGGTGCTACCAAACAGCCCCTTAATCTGACAAATCAAAAACTTCCCCTTGAAAGAAAAATCGATTCCACCAAGATGATGAAGCAAGAGGAAGATCGCAAGGTGGAAACCGTGACTCCGAGCAATCTCTTTGGGGCTATGGGTGAGGCAAAATAGCAATTTTTTTTCAATATTAAATCATCATTCTTCTGATCAACAAAAAGTTTCTAAACCATCAATCTTATTTTTATTAAAATCATCACTACATCACAATAATAAGGAAAAAAAACTTTCAGCTGTCACAAAAACAACAAAAACTTATTCAACTAAGCCACAGAAACCAGCAGATTTAAGAGAACTTTCAACACATTTAGAGCCAGAAAAGCCACAAACATACAAATTACAAAGCCATGACTCAGGATCTAGTCATACTTCTACAATTTATACACAAACTCTACATCAACACCCAATTCAATAAGAGTAAAATCCAGCCTCACCTCACATCTACAGATTATAGTCAATAACATAAAACTATACCTCAAATTAGAAAAAAAAAAAGAAAAAAAAAGAATGAAACAAGCCACAATCAAATCGCAAACAATTTCATATCTTAGCCCCAAAAAAATCCGTTTTTTTTCAATTGAAAGAAAAGCTAAAGCAGCTAGCGCACCGTACCAATCCATTCTCGTTGCAATCCTCACAGCGCCGCATCCTCCCTTCTTCCTCCACAAACACCTTTCTACTCCCTCTGCAATTTCCACACGGAACAAACCTAACGCCGCCGCATCCGCCGCACACAAACGCAGGGTCCTGACCTAGAACCCCTTCAACCAACCTCCCCATCTCACCAGCCTCGTGAAGCTGCCTCACCTCTTCAGCCCCGCCGATGTGTTTCCCACGCACAAATACTTGAGGCAAACCCACCGGCCGGCTCTTGGATCCAACCATCGTCTGCAGCTCGTGGCGGAACGCCGCGTGAATGGAGACGTCGCGCTCGTCCACGGCGACGCGGAGGCCACGGAAGATGGCGCGGACGGCGCAGCAGTCAGCGTGCGTGCGGCGGATGCTGCGCAGAGAGGTGGTGTAGATGACGACGCCAAGATTGGAGTTGGAAACGTTGGGGTTGTCGTCGGCGAGGGTTTTCCAGAACGGAATAGAGGAGTCTCGGGCGCGGCGGTGGAAGGTGTGGTGGTAGCTGAGGGAACGGGTGAGAAGAAAAGGTTTCTTGGCGGCCTCAATGGCGTCCATTGGAGATCGAAAAGGAGGCGACTTTCGTGGAGTTTTGGGTTTGTGGAGGAAAAAGGAGGCTTTTTTTTAGTTTAAATGATCAAATATATGGTTAATTTGGAAACATGGGGGTGCTGGAGAGAGGAATGTGTGAGGGGGAAGGAAGCTTTGGATTCCTTCGCGGAGAAAGGGATGAAGTAAAAGAGGAGTGACGATGGCGACAATAAGGGTGGACGCGGTCGGCATTGTGATGGTTGAAGGGAAGGGTGGGAGCGAGATACAGAAGCAGGGTTTCTTTGGTTTGAAGGAATTAGTGGACTGCAACTCTATTTCATTTTCAAAATTCAATCTTTGTTGCTTGATTTTCAATATAATGATTAAAGAATTTAGAAATGCTACACTGCCTCCACTTATATCTTGAAATTTTTTAATATATTTACAATAAAAATGAGAGAAAAAAATTTATAACCTCATTTAAGTGCAAATTACACCTCAGCCTCCCATCAATATATATTTTTTTGGAACATGAATAAAATAGTATTTGAACCATGAATAAAATAATATTTCATTTATCTAATTAATTATAAAATTAATTTATTTTAAAATATAACTAAATATATTATTAACTTTTAATTAAAAAGTTTAAGCTTATAATGAAAACTAATGACTTAATATTTTATGCCAATATATTTCTAATTATCCAATATGGGACTAAATCATACACTCAAGTGCTATGATAATTTTTTTATTATTAGATTTGAATGTTAGGGCACCGGTCATGTGAATATTTTCAAACACAATGCTTTCACATGACTTAATAAATATTTTGATGATAAGATGCTTATAATTTATTGCCAATTAAAATGATTTTAGAATAATATCAAATAAAGTAAAATAAATGTGGAATTGAGACCTTATTTTTGTTAGAGCATCTCCAGCCGAAAATCTCATTTTTCACTCCAAAATGTTGTGAAACTGCAAAATGCTGCGATTCATCTCCAATCGAACTCCACTTTTCACAATTTTGCAGGTAACGATCCTCTCTTCTTTCCCACGCCAAGTTCTGTAGAGAGGTAAAAATGGCTGAGATGAACAGTGCAACACCAATATTGACGTCCTACTGTTCACCCACAGCCAAATAGCGGGAAATTTGCGGTTCGACTGGAGCTGGCCAGGGACGTCATTCAAGCGGTTGCAGTTTAGTTGGAGATGCCTATAAGGGCTGTTTTTTGAAGAAAATTAGAAGGCAAAGTAAACATATTTCAAGCATTTCTTGCCTTTAAATTAGATGGTTTGGTTAATTTTGAGCGGAAAATCCTCAGTGTATTACAAACATCCTTCTTGCGGAACAATTATTACGTCCTCCGACCGGACGTAGAGGAACGTCTGGTCGGAGGCAAAATCTTGCCAAAAAATGAGAAATACCGAGCAATACCAAACAATAACGAGAAATACCATCATGTCAAGACCCAATACCGAGTTATACCGAGCTATACCGATTAATACCGAGTTATACAAAAAAATGGAGTTTTTCCTAGAAAAAACTCGGTACAACTCGGTATAGCTCGGTATAACTCTGTATTGATCTTCACAGAGCGATATTCCTCTTTATTATCAAATAATACCTAGCAATACCGAATAAATACCGAGTTTTTTGACGGGATTTTGCCTCCGACCGGACCTTCCTCTACGTACGTTCACCGGACCTAATAATTATTCTTTCTGCGACATCAAAAGTTTGAAACCCGAGCATGTTAGAAATTCTCTCGCGCGAAAAAAATGCAAACCAGCCTGTGTGCGCGATGGTTTCGCGAAATTTGAGATTATAAGATGATTTCGCGGAATCGAAGCTCTCTCCCTCTCGAGAAGCCAAAGCATTCTCTGCCAGTTTCCTCTTCTCTCCGCCTCCTTTGTTGCTGATCGACTTCACTCCTTTGACGGCGGGGGTCCCTTTCCGATCGGATCGGAAGATACGACACTTTGATCGGAGGCCAGACGAGAGTTCGCTCAATGGGAAACCCTAGTCGCACGCCTCTTTGTCATCTTTGTTGCTGGTCAGTTTCGTCCCTTCGAGGACATTCCCTTCCTGATCGGAATGAAAGTTTGAACATTTTTTGTCGCAAGCAACAAAGAGGCGAACTACGAAACTTTGTAAAACAAGAATAGCAGCAATGAAAATATAATCATAAAGAAAATAAGAATTCTATAACCTTCAAGTACCCTTCATATTCTCAAATCACATAGCACTCACAAGAAACTTATAAATTTTGGCAACCCTGTCTTAACTCAAAAGTTATGTCCATATATATCCATTCTATTTGTGGGGTCTCATTTTAGCCTCAAGCTTCATATATAGTCATGTGCAAAAGAAATTGAACTTTTGTCGTTACTGCTGCACACAACCCCCTTTCATGATTTATTGCTCATGGATCCTTTTTTCATTGAATTTATATTTACAGTTACAAAGATGGATGAGCCATTGGAAGATGTTGCTGAACTCCATGAGTGGGCGAAATCGGAAAATTCTCAAACTCCACTTGGAACTCAACAAATACATTTAAGCGATGATGAACCCTCACAATTTACGGATGTTGGTGCAGATGGATCAATGCCTAATGAGTTGTCTGATATGCAAGTTATGGAAGATTCTATTGGAACAACAACAAAAAATTGCTGCCTTTATCTGGTATAGGAAGTGTCATAAAAAGGAAGTCTAAGACATCTGTTATCGATCAAAATATCTGGGAGTGTATTTGTTTGAGGGCTGATAGTATGAATGAAGTTGCTAACGCTATCAAGAGCTCAATAGCATCTCCAAAATAAATTAGAAATATGTATACTGAACTGATGTCTGAGTTAACAAATATTCCTGACTTTTCAGAAGAAGAGGTTGATACGATATATGATAATTTATCAAAAAATCCTACACTGATACCATCGTTTCTATCAAAACCTACAAATTCGAAGGCTAGATGGATGCGTAAAGAGCTGGGAAACTGATTTAAGTTGTTGAAGATTGGCATATCTATGAAGTTGTTATCACAAAAACTGTTTCATGTTACTTTGTCGTAATTATAACTATATTTTGGTGTCTTTTGTTCTCTGCTACTGCAAACTGAATTGGAGGCGTTTATTCTCCCTTCCGGCTTTGTTGGTCGTTTTCTACAGAATTGCTTCTAAAAATTTTTTGTCCTGATATCTTCTAAACAGTCAAGATCAAGGGGTTCAACATCGGCCGTCCTTCCAAACACTCCCCATTTACCCTTGATCTCTCACCTATTTACGGGCCATGCCACTCTAGAAATCTATAAATAGACCCCTCCTTTCTCTTGAAAGGGGGGCTCTAAGCAAGAGAGCAAAAAAGAGATCGGAGATTGCTCTTGCCTCCTCGCTCCTCCTCGACCACCGCCTGAGCTCCACCGGACCACCACTTGAGGCCTTCACCTCCGCCGGACCACCGCCAGACGTCGTTGCTCAGCCGGACTACCACTTAAGGCCCCGAGCTCTGTCGGACCACCACTTGAGGCCCTCACCTCCGCCGGACCACCGCCTGATGTCGTTGCTCCGCCAAACCACCACTTGAGGCCCTGAGCTCTGCCGGACCACCAGTTGAGGCCCCAATCTCCACTAGGACACCACCTGACGCCTGGAGTTCTGCCGAACCACCACCTGAGTAGCAGACTTCTTCCGGACCGCCACCTGAGGCCTGGAATTCTGCCGGACCACCACTTGAGGCCCGGACTTCAGTCGGGCCATCACTTGAGGCCATATACTCCACCAGGCTACCACCTAAGGCCTGAACTTCGGCCGGACCACCACTTAAGGTCCCGAGCTCCACCAGGACACCTCCTGATGCCTGGAGTTCTGCCAGACCACCGCCTGAGTCCCGGACTTCTGCTAGATTGCCACCTGAGGCCTGAAATTCTACTGGACCACAACCTGAGACTCGGACTTCTATCGGGCCACCACTTGACGCTGAGAGTTCTCCCGAAATACCGCCCTTCAACTACGGTCTTTCGGATCCATGTCTCCTGCCGACTATGGTCCTTCTGACCTCCATCACTAGACAACGGTCTTTCTGGCTTCGGTCTCCTGCCTACTACGGTCTTTCGGACCCCTGTCCCTACCGATTATGGTCCTTCCGACCTTCATCACCAGATAATGGTCTTTCTGACCCCGGTCTTCTGCCAACTACGGTCTTTCGGACCCCTATCTCGTGCTGACTATGACCCTTCCAACCAAACAAACATATGTATGTTGATTATTGTAACTCCCACCATGTAATGCGCTCTATATGACGTACATTTGTAACATCAAGCCAAGGCCTTCTCCTTAAGAAGGGACTCATTTGTAATCGACTGCAAATACTAGTGGATTCATTCAAACTGGGCCATGCCCCGTGATTTTTCTCCCTTTTCAGGGGTTCCCACGTAAAAACTCTGGTGTCTCTTATGAATATTACACTCTCTCCCTTATCTGATTGTGTGCAGGATCTTCGTACAATGCTACGACGTTAAATTTACATATTTTTCTACCGCCGTGAATATTCTAGGATGCAACAAAAATAATTTTATGTTCTTCATTACAACATAAATAATATAATATATCATGGATTAAGTTAGTAAAACTTATATGGACAAACTTGACATTTGGGACCAAACTAGGCAAAGTTGTGAGCTAATAATTAGTGCTGCCTTAAACAAAGATCTATTTTATTATTTTTTTTTTATGATCCTACTTCAATGAGTTGGACAAACATGTAATTACATTAGGGAGGCCAATTTTTTATTATTAAGTCTGAAAAAGTCATATAAGTGAACATATAGAAAAAATTGAATTTGTTTTACTTTTTTAATAGCAAAGGTCTCCTAATGGAACTGAAGGAGTAAAATGATTAGGAGCATTGTTCAAATTTCATGATAAGTGCAGTAGACAATGCATTTCTTTGGTTATGTTGGTAGTGTGGAACAAAGCTACCACAATTTCAGCAATTTTAATTATATATGGTTGTTGGAAATGTATTATCAAATTTGATATGATTTTTGGGAAGAAAAAGACTTAATATAGGAGTTTAATTATATTTAATTGCATGATGAATGTCTTCCTTCATGAAATTTGTTCTCTTCAATTTGCTTTAATTTATCATTCTTAGCTAGGGGTGTCAATTTCGGGTCACGGGTCCGGTTCGGGTCGAACCCGAAACTAATTCGACACTATTCGGGTCAACCTGAACCCCAACCTTTTTTGCAAACGGACCGATTTTCGAACTTGAACCCGACCAGCTTCGGGTCCGGGTCAACCCGACACAACCCGAATGACCCGGTGCCAACAAAAAACTATTAGTTTTTAGGTTCAAAAATGGGTCAATCTCCGCTGTTTGGGTAAAAAATGGATCAATCTCGGGTTGTCGGGTAAAAAACAGGTCAATTTCAGGTCAACCCAAACCCGACCCGATTTTTGAAATAGGTCGAATTGGTGAACCCGAACCCAACCCGTTTCGAGTTAGTGTTGACCATAACCCGGAATTTTCGGCTCGGGTTCAAATCGGGTTTTTGGGTCGTGTCAAATATTGACACCCCTATTCTTGGCAGTATTTCCTGTGATATTCTTTCATTATAGGCAATGCACAATAGAGTTCAAATGTCTCATAATAGAGTTATAAATATTGACGTGAAGTTCATTTTAATATTCTGAAATTAAAGAATCCCACATTATGAATACTTTATTGATCACAAAGGGCTTTTCATATATGTTGGAGAGCATCTTCATGTTGCTTGTTATTTCATTGAGGATGTTAAAGTGGATGTTAAGGCTAAAAGATAACAAATTTTCCCAAGAGCTTGGTTGTCTATCAATTTCCACTCTTCTTGAATGATTGATTGAGCTTTACCTCTATGGTTGATGGTGTTTTTTTTAGAATAGATAATCTTCTATATGCATCTTCTTGAATTTGAAGTTTTAGCAATCAAATTTGTTAATTTTGATCTTATTGTTCTACATGCTTGAATATGAAATCTTTCTAGTGCAAAAATCTCTCATGCTTGTTATTACGACTGTAATAATAAAACTTTAAGCAAAACTCCCAGAAAGAAGTAGAAAACGTAATAGAATTCATAAACATGGGACATGTTTATGTAAATAATGACATAAATATTAAATATTAAATAAAGCTTTAAAACAGGGCTATGTCAAAATTATATTTTCATATAAAATTGAAGCTAATAATAGAGAGATCACTTTGCATACATGAATTATCAAGAGGGTCACAATTACTTGTTACAAAGGTGGGGTTGGGCATAGAGAAGAAAATGTTTTTGCTATTTCTATCATGTTGCCTTTATTGCTACAAGTGACCAAATGAGAGTTTCTCTCTAATATGATTAAAAAAAAAAACTTCTCTTGACAGAACCAAAACTAGCAACATCACCATTTTCTTGTAAAAGCACAAGATCTCCTCCTGCAAGTGCTTAAAAAAAACCATTCCCTTTGTTTTCTCAGTTGGCAGCCCTCTCTAATTTTTTATTTAGAAAAAAATTGGCTACACTTGATTAACAAGTATTAATATAAATCTCCATTATTTGCTGGGTTAAGATAAGCTTTTTTTTTTTTTTTTGGGTTTGTTTAAAGCTACTCTTATTAGTTTCTTCCTCTTTGCTAATTTGCTGCTAATTTGTTGATTCTTCAGATATTTTTCTGTTCTGCTTTTAGTTTTCTCAGTTGCTGGCTTCTTCAGTCTGTCTTCTAAAAAACCTGACTTTACAGTTCTTTCATTCTATAATTATCCAAACCAAGATTCTATTTGTGATAGCACTATTAATCATGAAAAGAATACTTCTTATGTTAATTGAATAACATCTAAAGCTAATTTTGTTACCAAGAATTCTATAGTAATTTTAGTTGATTGTAGAACTAAGCTTCATTTGGAACAATTTTCTTAATGCTTTCCTTTTCTAACTGTAATCACAATTTTGATTTAGCCAATTCTTTCAATAAATCTTTGTACTATGAAGTTGCTTTCTCCAGTAGCTTTCAAAAAAAATTTTCTCCACAGCAGTTTTATAATCAACTTTATAAAAAGTTGCAGTCGTAATCCCAAAAGATCCTAATTTCATTCATCCTACCATTTCACTGCATCTAAAGCAACTTCTTCCAAATAGAGAAATAAGCATCCATAGGAAATTTTTGCTAATTACATGAAAAATAACAAAATAATTATGATAAAACATTAAAATAAAATAGAAAAAAAAAATCTCTCAAATGTATCTTTAATTCATTGTGTTAAGCTGTGAAATCCAATTAGAAGCCTGAAACAAATCTAGATTAAAGTGAGCATCATAACATGTATAATAAGAACACAAACTAGAAATTACATCAGCTCTTACAAATAAGGAACATATTAACTTTATATAAGCATTACATATATCATCATTATCATCATCACTGATCCTTCAGCCATCTTCAGGCACAGCATTCCTCACATAGCCAACAGCAACAAAGTGCGGCAAGACTGCAATTACAAGATTCAAATATGAATAGCTTTCTCTATTCTTGACAGACTCAATTCTTAAAAGATAATTTATTTAAAAAGCTAAGACAGACTCTCAATTTAACTCTAAATCAAAGATAGATTATGGGATTAGGCCGGGTTTTGTTAAATAAAGATTGAACAAGCCACATGCATGCCCAACTTAAAGTAAACTTGAATTTTTTGCATGGTGGCGTAAGTAATCCCTCAGTGGGCCTACCAGCAGCCAAACCCACAGGTGCGGGGCCACAGGTGCGGGGCCACAATTATTTTCTCCCCATTTAAGGAGTCGCGCCGCATGAGAGAGGAATCGAGCATGGGTTGGGATATTCCCAACCACGCTCGCCCACCAACTCAGCTAAGCCCAGTGGGATAGTAAACTTGAATTGAACAAGTCATTTCTAAGACTTGAGTAGATCACAAGAAGATGGCGCTCTCTTTAGGATAGTCAAAATATCATTCTTAATTTTTTTTTAAAAAAATAGTCATCATGAGAGATTTGGTCTGAGTATAAATATGAAAAATTAAAGTTTGTTCTAAGTTTTAATTAAACTTCGGATATAATTTAAGGTCATTTAAACTCAAATTTTGGTGATTTTGAAACTATTTTAAGATTCATCTTATTAAAATGCATTACAGCAATCATAAATTAACAAGAATCAGAGTCTGGATCATAAATTTATAAGGTTATTTTAAAAATCTTTTTTTTTTACTTATTCCAGCTGAGTTTTTCCGCCGGAAAAGTTTTTCGGCGAAATAATTCAGCTGGATAAAATTTCCAGCATTTTTTTTCGACGGAAAAGTTTCCGACGCTTTACCGTCAAAATCATTTTCGTCGAATCCACCGGAAAATTCAGAATTTTCCGTCAGAAATACACTATTTTCCTGCACTGGATTTCTTCTAAAATAATTTTTGAGTTCATAAATTTAAGTTCGAGTGGGGTTTTCCCAAAAAAATGCATGAAAATTTGTGCTATATTAAATTGATTTTGTGCTAATCATTGGTTCAAATTACCTTTCAAAACTTATTTTATTTTCTCATACAAATTTGTAACATCAAACGCACCTTTAGCATAAATGTGAAGAAAGGAATCAGAAACTGATCACCTACCATCCTTCAATGAAGCCTTTCTCCCCTCTCTTCTTTGTTCGTTGACAGCATTTCTTCTTTTTTGATGCAGAAGTTTCAGTTGGATAGCCTATCAATACCCAATTAGCCTTCATAATCTATGATTATATAATCTAATAAGCAAAATATTAAAATCTCCTCTACTCCATATAAGAATCTGATAATTAGCTGCTCAAATGTAATAATAATCTTAATACTAATTATAATTAGATTAATGACTTTTATGCTAACAAAATATTGTTAATAATCATCTAGCCATGGACATATATGAAGGCTGAGATAGAGAGAAAACTAAACCTGGAGGAGGCTGGTTGGGTTTATTGGTTCCCCTTGTCCCAGATTTCTCCATGTTCTTTCTGCAACTTATAGTAAGCAAGAAGCTGATTTCAATCTATATTTGTATAGATAAGAAGACTACTTCCTGCCTCTATTTATATTGTAAAAGCTTAAAGCTTCCACCATGGCCTCAATGTGTGAAAGGAAATAAAGGGTTCCTTCAAAACTTTGGACTTTGTTTAATATTGTTATGCTAATGCTCTATTATGAGTTTTTTGTTATCAAGTTATTATTTTTTTGTTATTTTTTTAATAAATTGTGAATTATAAGGAATCTAAAGGGATGTAGCTTTGCACAACAAATACTTTGTTGTTTTGAGACTCAGAAACAGTTGTAAAATAGCTCGTTCGTGATTGCTACGGGTATTAGAGATTGGCATAGCGGTTGCTATATCAGTCGACATAACCTCAATCACAAATTTGTTTAGCAAATGCAAGTGATTAGTAGTAAGTACTGTAATTAGATGTTAACCGTAACATTGTTGTCGCGAGTAGGGATGTTTGTTTCGAGTTGGACTCGAACCTTACCCGTAACCCGATTTTGACAGCCCTAGTCGCAAGGACTTCAAAACATCTCAACGCCTATTTTGATACATATTGATTTGTGGCCGCTAAACATCAAGACTATCATACAAAGAAAGATTTACTAATCCACATAAAAATAAAAAATTTCGCTCGCTAACATCAAATCCTTTATGAATTATTATTTTTTAATAAAATACATAAAGATGCATCTATCATCCATCAATCTACATGTAATTAACACAAATGTTCAACTAAAAAGTAAATCAAATTATTCTTTCCAGACTGAGAAAGTAATAGAAAAATCATCATCATCATCATCATCATATCTTCAATTCATTAATATTCTAGAGATTTTCAGCCTTTTTTTTTTACTTTCTTTTAAAATTAGTCAAAAGCATATGGCTCACTATCTCAGACACTTTAAGACAAGATAAGAATTATGCCCACCGGCCAGCAACTGTTTAGGAGCATTGAAAGAAAATTATTCAGACAATAATTCTATTGCTATAGATTATTCATTACAAAGCCATAAAAAAAGGCCAACTGGCATATTCTTTTTCTTGGGCATGAAGGAGCTTTTGACATGCTTGGATTCTTTGCTTTAGATCTTTTATGAATGCTGGCTATCTTTTTCTTCTGTTCTTTGAGTTGAGGCATCTGATTCTCCTTACTTGTTTTAGTTTGGCAAATAAGGTTAGGGAAGATGTTAGATGCCTTGGACATTAGAGTACTTAGGCTCATGGATTCAAGGTCCTTTAAAGATTGTAGTAACTTTTAGTTTGATTCGAGTTCAAAGAGTCTAAGGGCTCGTTTTCTGAATGCTTCTTATAGCAGCTTTTTAGTACAAAACCTTTAAATTTTAAACTAGAAAGCAGGTTTAAGAAGCAGTAAGAAAGCCGTTCCAAACAAAGCCTAAGAGTATGTTTGGGACGGTTATAATGTTTTATAAAGTTGGTTACGAAGTTTCTTTGGAGAAGTAATTTAACTATTCTGGTTGCAAAAAAGCAAATTCTCATCATAGAAATTTCTAAATGGTAGTGAGAAAATATATAGAGTAATAGTCAAACGAAGTTATGACCGTTATCTAAAAAAGAAAAATAAGGAGGAAGTTGTCCCAAACATACCCTAAGTCATGAGCTAAACTATATCACTTACTTAATTCTATTAATGAAGCTTTCATGTTGTTTAACAAAAATAGTAAATAAACTCCTATTGGTACCTGAAAATTTTCATATGATCAAGTTTAATTTTCAAAATAAATTGTGGATCTTAAGAAATCAGCTACAAGTTAAGACTTCAAAATTGAGTAAAATGTTCTCTAAATTGTGTAAGTCTGTTTATTAGATGATCGTCTCATCTGGAATATTCAAATGATAACAAGTACACTTGAATTATATTTAAGGGGTGCACTAATCAAACTAGATATATCCTCCTCCTTTCTTGGACATGCTAAGGGACATTCGACGAGCCTCTCGCTTAGCATTCTCTCTCTGTGAGCTATACTTCTATAATGTTTAACCAACATGTAAAACCACCATTTTCTCACTTTTTATCTAGAAATTATTATGTGTGGAGACGGGATGCAAAATTTTATCCGGAGCTAGACCAGCCAGAATGCGCGACATTAGTAGTACTGAGCCGCGGTACCAAGCATTATCGAGCCATGGTACCGAGCAAGGGGTGACGTGGCGCATTCTGGTTGATTTTAGGACGGTGTTTGGCGTCCACAAAGAATAATTAATCCTTTTTTTATCACTAGAAATTAAATTTTCAAAGTTCACTTGAATTATCTATACCAGTATTTCTTAAGCAATATATGGCATAAGCCTCTCCTTTTTATTAAATTAATTTTTTTATGTTAAAATGATAGGAATTGTTGCTAATTTTAACCAATCCTAAATTTGAGAGATGAACATTTTCAACATCATTATGATCAATTTGTTCATGAGAATTTTGATTTATCAACTACATTGGAATCAATGCATCTATAATAATGAGATAAAATTTTAATTTGATAATTTGAGAATTTATCGTTGATGATTTATTTGTCAATGAGGGCGACCTCTTAATCAATCACTAGAGTCTGTCCTAACTTGGACAAGTTGATCAGGCCCTAACCCAAAGGCGAGATTGTCAAGTCCACTTCCAAATCAAGCAAATGGCCAATATCAATGTAAATAAGAGAGATTCTAACAAAAAATGATCATAATACCTACTTCAAAGTCTTAAATAAATATTGATTTTATACATTTTGAACGTCTAAAATAAAGTTGAAACTTAAGGACTACGCAAAATTACAAAATGTTTACCAACTTTAAAAGTTCAAAATATTTGTTCATGGTGTTGCAAATGTGACAACCAATTGCTCCTGGTATGAGCGATGAAATCTAGTACCCTTTGAGTCACAAGAGAAGATAATAAGTTCTCAAACAGAGAGAGAGAGAGAGAGAGAGAGAGAGAGAGAGAGAGAGAGAGAGAGAGAGAGCTGAACTTTTTTTTGAGCTGAACTTTAGAGAGAGAGAGAGAGAGAGGAACATGTTGAGTCTAAGTTACTCAATGAGGGGATAAGAGCTAGATAAACACAAAGATGGTTAGGATATAGAGAAAGTGAAACAACAATTATAATCATTTGATCTATCACCTTCATTGATTGTTGAGATTCATGAAAAAAAATTATCTACTAAAGAGTGTTTTAAGTATATATTATTTTGTCTCAAAAGCTCCATTTTTAATAAATATCATTACAACATATCCAAAACTTGAGACCAACAAAGAGTCCATATGATGAACATAGTTTGGAGAGGAACATGTTGGTCATGACATGAGTGTCTTGAACTTTGGAAAGCAAATAGCCCACTTAAGTTTATCGCCATTAGGACAAACAGTTTTAGCAATTTGGTGGGCTGGATCCATGGGCTTAAGTTCAGGCCCACTTGACAGATTTAAACTAATATTATGAAAGCAATAAATCATTATAGATATCAGAAGTTCATAGATCCAAAAGAAGTATCTCCATTATCATGCCACAATATTATAATGTGTGTTTAGCATATCTAATAATGGTTTAAAGTTGTGGGCTATGTTTTTGTTTGAACAAATTTTAGAAATCAAACATACATTGCAATAAACATAACTGATGTATTGAAGATGGTCGATGATTACGCAATGAAAGACAACATTTGAGGGGAAAAAGAGTTGCGAGACGAGCTACTGACTAAAAAAAATAGTCTTTTTGCTGCAACCAGGGCTTTGTTGGAAATGCTGAAAGGGGGTTGTGTAGGCTAGTCGTGATTGGGAATGCCGGAAAAGCCCGTGAAGTGAAGCCCTAATGCAAAAGCTGAAAGGGAACAAGCTTTAATGTGTCGAGAAGGGGAAATAAGAAGATAAGTGTTTGTAAATGGCTTGAATCAAGTGAGTTTTGAATACAAGCAAAAATGATCATATGAGATATTTCAAATATCTCAAATTTTTACACTTGTTTTTAACTTCAAAGCTAATAAATATACATAGAAAGAGAGTGTGTGTGTGCAATACACTCATTTTTCTATCAAATAAACATCCCCTTAATAAATTTCTAAGATGAAAACAATAAACCAATTCTTTGTTTGGGACAGCTTTTTATTGCTTTATGAAGCAACTTTCTAGTACGAATATTTCAAATTCAAAAAATTTTGCACTAAAAAATTGTTTCATAAAACAGTAAGAAAGCTGTTCCTAACAAAGCCTGCTTTTGGCCATGGGGTTTTTTATGTTTAGAACAATTTTTTAACTAAATAAATGCTGTAAAAAGGTAATAAAACAATGGTATCAAATGAAGCATAAATTTACTATTTAAAAATAAAAATACATTTTTTTTATCATTAAATCATTAAAAAAAAAACCTTATTTAAAAATTCCTTGGCCTTTCTCGCGTTTCTCTGCGCTCCGTTCTCGCTTATCCTCACTTTCTTCCCCAATTACTATAACAATGATCGTCCCCTTCTTCTCGTCCTCATTTCCCGCAATCAACTGGCCGCCTCTTGTTTGAGGAATCACCGGCCCTCATGGTGGCCTCGACTGCGACCGCCGTAGCGGATAGGGCGGCGTCGAACCGGGCGGGAAAGATTGTAGCTTTGAAGCCGACGGAGAAGATGGTGGCGGACTTCATGATGGGTGGTGCTGCCGCGGTAGTGGCGAAGAGCGCGGCGGCACCAGTGGAGAGGGTCAAACTCCTTCTTCAGAATCAAGGGGAGATGCTGAGGAGGGGAAATCTGTCGAGGCCTTACGAAGGAATAGGCAATTGCTTCGTTAGGGTTCTCAGGGAGGAGGGGTTTTTCTCCTTCTGGAGAGGGAACCAGGCCAATGTCATCCGTTATTTACCCACGCAGGTTCTAATTTCTTTATCGTATTGGCTCTTTGCACGATCTTTTCTGCACGTTTAATATCTGAAATTGATCATAGAATTGCCTGGCATTGTATTTTCAACATTAAGAGTATGATTTTGTTACCTCGGCGTATAACTTGATCCCCTTTTTGTAAATTTTTGTACTTGCTATTTGATATTGGTTTATTATCAATTAATGATATGAGCATTACGATCTTCTTTTACCATAACCTAAGGGGAATGTTTGTAATTGCTTTTTGAGCATTGTATAGGTTTACTTGTTATGATTGTGATTCCTCCTGGGAGAAATTTAAGATTAAGTTTGGGTTGAACTACCTATTTGGTGCCTTAATTAAGATGGGAGATGGCACGAAAATGGTTAGTTGTTCCATGTATCCATCTTAAAATATAATGTATACCAAATTGAAGGTGTCCATTAATGGTTCAGGAGGTTCTAAAAACAATCGGTCAAACCAAAATGTAGGCCTAAACTATGTTTGGTGTAAACTACCCGAGCTTAAGCGAGCTTGTTGTATGCTAGTGTTGACTTGTTTTTGAAATTGTTCATGAACTTTGGGCTCGTTCGAACTCAAGCTGACTATGAACTGATTTCGAAAAAAATGAAAATATATAGCTAATGAGCCTAACAATGTATATGTATGCTTAAATTAAATTTATTTCAAACATTATATTAAAAGGGATTTTTATTTGAATTTATTATTTAATTATTGCATTTAATTTAAATATTAGAGTATTTTTTATTTAATAGGTTAATTTTTATTTGTCATTTAAATTGATTTTTTTTTTGTATATATTTCATGATTTATTAGAATTAGGATTTTAAATTCTCAAATTAATAGACCCTAAAAGATTTATATCCTAATAATATAGTGGGAGACAAGTTAGGGGTAATTAATCAATTCTAGCGCTCCAAATACTAACGTGATCGCCAACATGCATACGGTTGGTTTCGGGATTACATACAAATAAATATAGATGAAATGCAGATGTTACTATATGGACCTAAGGCTGGAAGAGCACACATCATATGGCTAAAAGACCTAAGGCTCTCTAAGTTTAGAAAAACTTACCTCACCGGATCAGGTGGTTCCGGCCGTAGCACCCCTGCTTAGAAGAAATAGAGTTAACTGATCTCTTTAGCTTTATCCTTCAATTAGCTCCATCATTCCCTCACAAATAAAGTGAAGGGAGACAGATAGATATATTAGAAATTGATGTATCCACATATAAAAGCTAGCATGAATCGATATGCAAGCAAATAATTAGAGATTAATGAGAATTTAAGTGCATAGCCTTGTTGTTTCTCATCTTGATATTCTTTCTTCCTTAGATTTATTAATACTTTTCAAAATAACCATGCCAACAACTGCTTCACAACTATTGCACATCAATATTACGAAAACATAATAACCAGATGCTCACATAGCTTTGACTTTCCCATGCTATCGTATGTCAGATGAGTCTAAGAAGTGTGCACGGGAAGATAATCGAAACATAGTCATTTTTACAAATATTGTATTAAATGATAAATGTATACACATGTCAAAGAGATAGAAACATGATTACAAGTTATTCAGCATAATTGTTCATTTTCATATTGAATGCCTAGAAAGAATCATAAAAAATTCTCCCATAATTCATTATAAACCCAAACTGTAACAAGTAACCACATATAAAATATTATTTACTCATCATTCCAACTTGATGAATATATTCAATGTGAACTAAGTAACTGAAACCTAATGCAACTTCATTTCTTTAAAGGATTCATATAAAAGATGAAAATAGCCTTTAATATGAGAATATGTCCCTTATGATACCAACATTCGGGAGAGAGAATAGTGGTTGAAGCTTAATACAGCGACAAAGATACATCCAAAAACCATTCAAACTAACATATGAATAATTTCGGCAAACAATTTATCTTAAATTTTGAAATTATTCTTCATTGTATAAAGAACAACATCTAGATTTCAAGAATAAAAGAAATAGAGCAATATCAATATATTCATTTATTCCCATAAGAAATCTATTTCAAATCATTTTCATGAAAACTCTGATTCAAAATATTTCCACAAGAAAATTTGATTTGAAATATTCCCACAAGAAATCCGATTCAAACACTTTCATAAGAAATTTTGCTTCAAGATAAATAGTTACTGATTTCAACAATAAGAAAATTCATCTCCATTTCTTTTCTAAACAATAACACCAATCTTCATCACTTCTTTTGCCATCAAGATGATCAAAAGAAAGAGAAAGAAATATTGTCTATTAAAATAAATAAAACTGAAGAATGCAGTCATCAAACCTCATGAATCCCTAGTATTTGTGTTGAGAAATTTAAAAAAAAAAACTTATCCGAATCAAGATGAAATGATATACATATAATTGTAAATTCTAACAGTTTTTTTTTATCCCAAGCATAACTCTTAGGAAAGAGATTCAATCCATAGAAAACTCATATTAAGAGAAAGAAGCATGAATTGCTTTTGCCTTAGGTAAAAGAGAAATTCCTTAAAAAAAAAAAATTGCATAGATCCCTTTCATTCTTTCGAGAAACAATGGAGAGAAGGAGATTGCTAGAAAGAAAATAAAGTAAGGAAGAGGAAGAAGATCAAGAAGAAGGAGAAGAGGATACCTTGCTTTCTTCCTCTCCAAATCTCACGAGCAAGCTCTCACACTATGCCTCTCTTGCTCTCTAGTTCGGCCGAACAAACAAGCAGGTAAGAGTCCAATGCTAGAGTTTGCCTAAGAAGCCCTCTTTTATGGCCTAATGTTATTTCAAATAATTACCATCATCCCCTTAATCTAATTTCAAATTAATAACTGAGATTTTTACTTGTTTTAAAGAGAATTTGAGGGCCGAATTTAAGACAATCTGAACAAAATAGTTTTTTTTTTTTTTTTTAAGATTTGGATTCAGATTCATTTGGTTAAACCGATTTGATTTAATAAACACTAATTCGATTTAAATTGAGTTGATTCGCATCAAATTGTGTTGATCGAAGCCGACGAGCTTCAAATTATTTCTGATTCGAGCTAATTGATTTCGATTTGATTTAAATTGGGTCGAGTTATATTAAACTGAGTAGATTGAAGCCGACGAACATCAAATCGCATTTGGTTTGAGTCAAATCTGCTTGATTTCGCTCTTTTAAATATATTTAATTAATAATCAAATTGTTTTCTGAAAATTTTTAGCTCGAATCGCATAGAATTGACTCAACGAGGCTCAAATAAATTTATTTGATTATTAATTGCATCAATTTGGGCTTGATTCGACTCAATTTAATAATCGGCAATGACATCAGGGTCAAATCGTCCTCAATTTGAATTAAGTCGAATCTGACTTGACCTCGTCGAATTAACTTTATGTGATCAAATCGACTTTGATTAACTCAAATATGGTTCAATTTAAATTTGACAGTGATCAACGAGGTAATTTAAGTTTACCAAATTCGAGGTCAACACACCTACACCTTTAGAACACAAAATGATTAGTTTGATCTCAAAAAAACTTTTCTAAACTGCAAAATCTTTTGAAACATAATTAAAATGTTGTTAGGCAAACGTCAATGTAGTTACAATTTGAAAGCAAAGTTGATAGAAAGCCATCCCAAATAAACACTAGTTTGATAGTAACCAAGCATTTGAGGACTGGTATCTTTTTACTTGGTTTCATGTGGCTGATTAGTTAATTAATATCCATGTTGGTAGAGAAGGAATGCTGATTTCTTGTGATTCAGTGTATTAATAGGAATTGATTGGTACTTTGGCTGGCTTTCAATTGTTTAGGGATGAAGTGTTGGCTTTAGATGCTATAAGTGGTGAACCGTGTGGAGTTTTTGTGAGCTGAGTGATTATGCTGATAATTGTCATTGTTCACGCCTCGAGTAGGAACTATTTGTATGAGAGGATTGATTTCAATTACATTGATTGCTTGTCACGTTAAAAAACAAATCACTTAAATTCCTATTTATAAAAATAGGATTATAATCTAAAATTCAAAATTAGTTAAGTCTTAAATCGTATTATCTAATTTTAAAATAAAGATAGTCCTATGTCTTAAATTCAATAATATTAAATTTAATTTATAAAATAATCTAAGAATATTAAAATAATCGAGAATAATCGTGATAGATGTCTTATATGTATATAAAAAAACTGTTCATCATTAATGATAAAAAACAACTTGCTAGGGATAAAATTATAATCTTGCTTCAGATTGGTCAATATATATTATAGGCCTACAGCAATGTTGTGGGACATGTGAAAGCTTTGATTTTTAGGACATTGGTTCTTTCATGGCAATGGATCATTTGCATCTCTCTCTTATATTTGGCTTCTTGTCCAAGTCTTATCATAAAATATTTATATTTAAGCATGATCTTACAATAACAAACATCAAGCCTTTATTCCACCGTGAGGCCGGCTACATGAATCCTTTTTCTCCATTGTGTCATATTAAAAGACAAATTCTTTTTTAAATCTAATAAAAAAATATCTTATCTAATATTTTTCTACTAAGTCTTTTTAGGTCTATCTACTTTTCACTCTCCTAATCGGGCCATCGGAAGACCGACGTTTTATATGCCTAAATCATCTAAAGTGACTCTCTCTAATCTTATGTCACTGGAGCTACTCCAATCTTTTCACGTATATACTCATTTTGCATTAAGTTTCTAAGAGTGAAGTCACTCATCCACTCTTCATCACTAAACTTAATTTTATGCTTATCTTTTAATGACCAACACTCTGCGCCATAAAACAATCCAGGTCTCACCACCATATTATAAAATTTCTCTTAAGTTTGAGGGTTACTTTTCTATTACACAACAGGCCCGATGCATTACTCCACTTCAACCATCCAACTTGTATTCTACTTAATCGTGGTCTCACTTAAAAATTATTTCTGCAGGCCTTCAATTTTGCATTTAAGGGTTACTTTCAAACCATCTTTTCATTCTCGAAGGAGAAAGATGGTTATAGTAGATGGTTAGCCGGAAATGTTGCTTCTGGTAGTGCTGCAGGAGCCATAACTTCGCTATTGTTATACCATTTGGATTATGCGAGGACTCGACTTGCCACAGACACACTTGATCGCCAAGCTGGAAGTCAGCGCCAGTTTAAAGGACTTGTAGATGTTTACAGGATGACTCTTTCAAGTGATGGTTTTGTTGGCTTGTATCGGGGCTTTGGGGTGTCAATAATGGGCATCACTCTATATCGTGGACTCTATTTCGGCATCTATGACACCATGAAACCTCTTGTCCTGGTTGGTCCCTTTGAGGTGAGCAATGGACGCCATGTTGTTATTGTTAAATTTCCTGAGAAAATACTTTTTTCTTTGTCTTCTAATTTAGCTCCAAAAAGTGCATCTTTTGTGCTTCATGATTCTGGAAATTCTAGCTATATTTTCCGCATCTAAGGCTTTGTTTGGGACGGCTTTCTTGCTGTTTCTTAAAACGGTTTTCTAGTTAAAAAATTTTAATTTTTTATTAGAAAGCCGCTTTAAGAGCAGGAAGAAAATCATCCCAAACGAAGCCTAAGTTTTGACCCATACATTAATAAATTTCCATCAACCAGTAGACTGTAACTTATTTTAACAGAAGTTTAAATTGAGAACAAAGAAAAGTTTTTGTCCAAAGAAATGACAAAGTCGATGATAGAGTCAAAATGTTTTAGATTTGGTGAGTTAAAAGGGATTAAATTCAACACCTAAAACAATCTAGGACTATATTAGACAAACATACAAATTTTAGAAACCATTTCAATCATTTACTTAGATCATACATTATATAATTTTTTAGCGATGATCTATGTTTCATCCCCTCTAGAACACATCCTGCAATCTTCTAATTCTTGAACGATGATTATTCTGCTACCATTTGCATAAGCTCACATCTATGTCCAGTCTGGTAAAGCCGTCTTCTAACAATGAGACTGATAGGCCGGTTCAACGTAAACCGGCCCAGCCGGCTCAGGTTTACAGGAGGCGGACAAGTTCCGCCTCTCTCGGTTCTTTCCCCCCAAACTAGTGTGCCCATTAGGAGGAAATTAAGGAGAGAGGGTTGGGCAGTTAGGGAGAGAGGGAAATTTTGAATTTTTGGATGTTTGAATTAGGGAATTAATGTATTAATAGTATGATTTGTTTAGGTTTAGGGTTATGCTTGATTGGAGTTGTTCTCTTAGAGTCTCCTTGGTGTCTTGGGCTCTAGATCCACAATCTAGAGATTTGGGAGAGAAGATCCTCCTCTCAAATTGAGGATCAATTGTATCTTGTTTGAAGTTTGTTTGTTTCGATTCTTCTATCACAATCTATCGCTTTTAGTTTGATTTCATCCAGAATTTTTTTGTTTTCTCGCTGTTTTGGGCCAATTATTGTTAGGGTTGCTTGCGAACTCAAATATTTTCTCTTGGATTACTTGCGAACTCAAGTATTTCCTATCAAAGACCTGACTTTTGTTATCACAGGGGAATTTCTTGGCCAGTTTTGTTCTGGGATGGACTGTGACAACTTCAGCTGGTGTCTGTGCCTACCCATTTGATACATTGCGTCGTAGAATGATGATGACTTCAGGACAGCCTTACAAATATCGAAGCACCTTCCATGCCTTCCACCAAATTGTACAACGCGAGGGATTTTTAGTTCTGTTTAGAGGAGTGGGTGCCAATATGCTTTCAGGAATAGCAGGAGCTGGAGTACTTGCAGGTTATGATCTGCTTCATCGTTTCGCCTGCAGACGAGGATACGAATTTGAAAGCTAGATCAAAGCCGGGCTGAAATGAGGGAGTTGGCGAGAAATTATCCCATGCGGAGGCTGGACACAGCTCTACATTCAGAGGCGAATCATGTGCAGCCATGTCAGCTGTACCAAGCCGCGGTATCGAGCGAAGGGGTGACGTGGCGCATTAACAGAATAATTTTTCCTATGAGGCATAGATGAAAACCAAGTTTTATTAATCATGATTAGTTCTATAGTTGCTGGAGCTTGCAAAAGTTGATCTTCTCACAGAGTGCTCATGTAAGTAATTCAAACGACTGTAAATAGCCTTCTTCTGATTTGATTCAGAGTTTGTGATATGTACATATCTATACTCCCATTAATTGTCAATGAAAAGGAAAGATTTATTTACCTAATCAAGTTGTTTGGGGAGGTTTAGGATATTTTTTATTTTTCTTATTTTTGTTTTTAAAAAATATATCTGATTTGTATTTTTGAGCTGTTGCCACCCCAGCCATCGACCACCACGGCTTTCGTCACGACTGGCCACCATTGCCCTACTATGTAATATTCAATAAAAATTAATAACACTTAGTAAATATCAAATATACTTTAATTTTGTATTAAAATATAAATAAAATAAAATAAAAATAAAAACAGAAAGTGATCACCACTGTCCACTGGAAAGCCATTTTCGTTTGGAACGACTTTTTTACTGTTGCTTAAAGTAAATTTTTAATATAAAAATTAAAATAATGGTACTAACATATTGTTTTAAGAAGCAATAAGAAAGCCGTCTCAAACGAAACTTTATTGTGATAGCTATTATGAACTGAATATTGGTTATGGAACTTTCGCTAGAATATGATGTTAATTCACATGTATCAATTGGAATTATAATGCTATTACTGCACTCAAATTGATTATCATTTAATTAATTATTATAATGTAATGATAAAAGAATGAGATATTAAAAAAAATTATAAAGAATAACTTAAAATAAGAAAGCTAAATATAATTATTAAACATTTTTAACAATTTTATGTTTAAAATTCTGAATGTAAATATATTTTAAATGTATTTTATATTAATATTTTTTAAATAAACTAGTTCAAGAACTAATAAGTCGAGTCATACTGGCTCATTAGCTCATGAGTCAGCTCGACTAACTTAAATCCCACTGCAAATTCTTTGCTGATGATAACTTGTGCTCTTTTTGCTACTCTTAGGTCATCTCCAACCGAACTCCAAACCCATGAATGACGTCGTCGCGAGTTCCAACTGAACGGCAAAACTTCAGCTATTTGATTGCGGGTGAACAGTGCGACGCCAATATTGGCATTGCACTGTTCACCTACGCTATTTTCTATCTCTACCAGATTTGCAGAAGAAACGCGTGAAAATAGAGAAAGACCGTTACCTTCTCAGAAATGCTACATTTTAGAGTCAGAAAATGAGATTTTCGGTTGGAAACATACATTTCTGTTACAGATCTTCTCAATGATGCAGTTAAAAAAAAAATCTCTTAATACAAATGAATTAAAAAAATCAAAATCAAAAGAGAGAGTATGCAATCACAATTTCCTCTATACAACAGAGGGGTGCAGATGAGGTTTATGTTTATCTTCTTCTTCATCTTCATCTTCAAGCTCGGGCTGCGCAGCACCCTTCTCCTCCACATCCTCCTCCTCCACTTCAATTCTCTTTGAGACATAACAGTTCGCACAAACAATGAAGTACACCAAGTTGAATACTTGCATCCCAACCACCAACCAGTAGTAGTAATCCAATCTCCCATTGTTGATATCGTTCTGCAGCCAGCTCCCCTGTTTCGACCTCTTCGTCAAGTCGCTCACCATCGTCACCAGAAATGTTCCTCCATAGTGCCCCAGTGATATCGAGAGCCAGAAGAGCGCCGCCGCTATACTCCTCATGCTCTCCGGCGACTGCTCGTATAAGAACTCAATCAGCCCCACCGAAGCGAAGCCGTCGCCCACGCCGTGCACCACGAACTGCGGCACCAGCCAGAACGCGCTGATGTGGCCGGCGGCGCGGCGCCGGCGGTTCTCCACGAGGGCGGCTGCGACATTGGAGAAGACAGAGATGGCCAGGCCGATGCCGATTCGGCGGAGCCGGGAGATGCCTTCTTGACGCCCGGTGAGGCGGCGGGCAAGGGGAATGATCACGCGATCATAGACGGAGAGGGTGAGGAGCATGGCGGCGGAGGAGAAGATGAAGAGGCTTGCCGGTGGAATGCTGAAGCCGCCGGCGAGCTGGCGGTCCATTGACTTGGCCTGGACTAACCCAAAGGTGTAATTGTTGGAGGTGGCGGTGGAGATGAAGATGCCGGCCGACCATATTGGGAGGATTCCCATTATGGATTTCAGCTCCTCCACTCTGTGGACGGTCGAAAGACGCCATAGCAGGGGACGATTGGTGTTCTCGTCCATGTCTCCCTCAACGACGATCGCCGCCCGGTCCAAAAACCTGCATTTTTCATGATTAATTTCAGCTTCCAAATTCGTATTAACAAATAGATCGATCGAGCGAGCGAGCTGTAATTAATTACTTGAATTGCTTTGTGTGGGATAGTCTGCCGACGGTTGAAATATCGGCGTCCAGCTCCCTGTTCTGGTACAGAACACTGCCATCAGTGGGCACAACGAGCTTCCTCTTCCTCAAGGCGGCGGCCACCACTTGGGCCACTCGGGTCATCGGACTCCCGTTGGGCTTCCGACGTATGTAAAGTGGGTACCCGACGACGAAGACGATGATGGAGATGAACATGGCGAAGGTGGGGATTCCAAACCCGATCCCCCACCCGACATTGTCCTGTACATAAACCACCACCGTCATGGCGAGGATCACCGACACTCCGATGCAGAAGAAGTAGATGTTGAAGAAGCTCGGCTGTTCCTTGGACGACCCTTTGGCCTGAGATTTCCGACCCGATCCGTCCTGTTCTTCCAACTGCTCCGCTCCGAACGCCACCACGCATGGCCGTGTTCCGCCCGACCCGATTGCCGTCAGGAGGAGGGAAAAGTAGAATACTGCTTGCTGCCATGTCGAAGCTTCCTGGCAGGAGGAGGAAGAATCGGGAGAACATGCCGGCGGCCGGAGCGACGGTAGAATTGCCGAGATTGTCACACCCAGCATTCCCTGCATTTATTTAATTAATCACAATATTATAAAGCTATCAAGAAGAAAACAACTTTTTGTAAAGCTACTGTAAAAGCATGCTCCTAGTACTGAAACCTACCAACTGATAAAGAGTAGCTCCGACGGCGATGGTCCAAAACCGGCCGGCATAAGAGTCTGCGATGAGGGCGCCGACAATGGGTGTTAAGCTCGCCGTTCCGGCGAAGTTGTTGAGAGTGTTGGTGGCCTGAATCAAGGGAACATGCAGCTCATTCCTAAGATAAGTCACCATATTTGCGTAGAATCCGGCGGTGGCAAACCGATCACATACTTCATTTGCTGCATCAAATCACATAAATACTCTATCAACACATAATCACTCCATATATTCGAAACTTTAAGCTCTGAAAGATAAAAAAAAGTGATGTAGAGCTTCAAAAGAGTTTTTATCATTCAAATGCCTCAAAAACCATACATTCTAACTATTTAAGGGAGCAAATAGAAGACTCTAGACTAAAGGAGATAAACTAGTCCCTAAGCATAAGATAGGCTAAATCTGAAAGATCAAAAAAAGGCTCACATAATATGAAAGGCATAGTCTTCAGACCACCGAGCTTCTTCTTCTTCTCCTTTCTTCCACAGTCGGCCATTATCAATTCTTGCTGTATTAATTCAGCTTACAGAACTGTCTGTGTTGAGCTTCATTGGGCAACAGAGGCTAATTATATATATAGAGAGAAAGAGGGAGAGTTGATTTGGCTTCATTTGCTACAACTTTTTTTTTTAATATTTTTGTAACGTAAATGATAATTTCATATAAAAATATATGCCAATATAGTAAGAATTGAATGGATAATGCCCCAAACTTCTGTATTTCTCAAATGGTCAGTGAGGAAAAGACAAAAAAAGTGGTAGAATCATTCTATTTAGTTTACCACAAAGCAAATAATTCTTCTCTCAAAAGCATTACGTGAAAATCACTTCTGGAGTCAAGCTTGACCGAATGCCTTAACCAATAAAAGGAGTAATTGCAATTATGGAAACATTCTGTTCATGCTGGAGAGCAATGTTTGGAAGCTTCCACAACAGCTTAGGATGCAAAAAAGCTGATTTTTCTAACTTGTCAAAGATGTTTGGTTTTATTATAAGGTGATTTGATGTGATTTAGGCTTCATTTGGGACGGCTTTTTTATTACTTCTTAACGCAGCTTTTTAGTAGAAAAATTAAAATTTTGATGTGACTCAAGAAGCAGTAAGAAAGCCGTCCCAAACAAAGTCTCAAATGAATTAGATAAGAATTAGTTATGAGATGATTATTGATTTGGAAGTGTGAGCATAGTAGATTCTTTTTTAATCTCATTGAAGATAAAACATAAAATTTCCAAAAAAATTTATTTTGGGTATTTGGGTAGCTGATAATAAGAGGAGGATTAAGTATTGATGGTTGTTTGATTTCTCCCTATATATGGAGAGTGACCAAACTGACGATGAATCATCGCTGGCGAACTTGTGATCTATCGCTCAAAGGTTAATGATGATGTATGCACAATTTTTTCAATCAATTGATCTCCCCTTATATCAGAAGAATGACCAAGCCGATTTCCAATCATTGTGAAGTACTTTCATTCTATGTCGATTGTCACCTAATTAATGGCTAGCAAAGATTGACGCTTGCGCTCAACAACAATCGTACGGTCCCCTTTATTTTGATGTAGTTTGTTTACATTTGTGTCATTCCTTTCTACCATATATGCATGTGTATCCATGTCCACATTGAAGCGGCTAGGGGTGCATGTAAATAAGTTGAGCCAATCTAGAATCACGCCTAAGTTGAGCTTGATTAATTAATCGAATTTAAATTTGAATTTAATTCTACGAGTTTGAATTGTTTAACAAAAACTTAATTATTCAGAACAAATTAAAAATAAAATTATTATGATTCAAGTTATTATTATAAAAAAGTAAAAAAAAAAAAAGAATGAAAGATTAGAGGATAAATAATAAAAAATCACTTAGTTTTAATTTATTAGTTGAACCAAAACTTGTACACTTTGTCTTATGTGTTAACTTAAATTTTAATTAGTTTGCATTAATAAATTCTAATAAATGACTTTTTTAGATAAAAATTTTCAAATTATTCTCCAATATTAGTGAATTAGTAGGCCATTGGGTTACTTTGTTTAATTAGTTTGTTAAAATTCATTCCATGATTTAAGTTTGGTTTGGTATGGCTTTTTTAATGCTCTTAAAGCAACTTTCTAGTTTTAAAATGAAGTAAGAAAGTCATCCCAAACGAAGCCTTAGTGCTCAAAATTACTTTTCTCATATATAATTTTCTTAGAAATTTTTAGCATTATCATTAATTTTATATAACTATATTTTCTTATTAATTAATGGAATTTTTTTTGTCAATGGTAAAATTAGCATAAACCAATATTAAGGAGGTTATAGATTAGTTAATTTTTGTATGTTGAATACTATAACAATGTTATGTTGATGATTATTGCCATTTTATCATTTTGATGCTCATATACATCTAGGCATTCTTTAAATGTTTCTTACACTTCATAGGTGCAAAAATTTATAGAGATCTTTCCATTTCACATGAACTTAAGCATTCATTGATCCAGGTTCATCGGGTCAACCCGAAACCCGACCCGTTTTGAAATCGGGTCGGGTCAAACCCAAAATTTCCGGGTCAGGTTCGAGTCGGGTTTTCGTGTCGTGTCAAATATTGACACTCTAATTTAGATATAATATAATAATAATTTGTGTCACCACTAAAGAATTTACCTACACAATTATTGCAAAATTTTCATTTCATAATTTATGCTACTATATATTATAAGAGAGTGGTCTCATATTAAATGCTAGCCTTTCATTTTATTTGATTTCATGATTTTAATTCTAGTCATACATCATTCACTATTAATTTTATATACTTATTATTACTAACAAGCCCATTGCCTAAGTTAAGGAGCTATAGGGATTCCTAAACTTTTTTGTTACTATGAGAATATTTATTATTGCCAAACCCTTTGATTTAAACAATAACTATTCATCTCTTTAATTCTCATTTACTTTGAAAGCCAAAGGAGATGAAAAGCTACATAAACTCTTCACATTTTAATGCCAAAATAATTTCAATGATTTTTCTTCTCCACCATTACATACATCCTCTAACACCTCACTTGTCTAAGGCTTCATTTGAGACACTTTTCTTATTGCTTTTTAAATCAACTTTCTAGCACAAAAACTTCTAGTTTAAAAATTTTTATGTTATAAATCTCTTTTAAAAAGTAGTAAAAAAAATGTTTCAAATGAAGCCTAAATCTTGGCATCCAATTTTGTTTATTTTTTATTACTGTGATGATATTTAGGTTTTGTTTGGGACGGCTTTCTTACCGCTTCTTCAAGCAGCTTTATAGTACAAAAATTAAATTAAATTTTTGTACTAAAAAGTTGCTTAAAAAAAACGGTAAGAAAGTCATTCGAAACAAAACCTTAACTCCCACGTGTTAGGAAAAATTCTTCGTCTCCCTAATTTGCATTTCCTTTCACATTCGAAATATAAAAGAAATGGAAAGCTTCTACAATATCTAAAAGGTAAAAGCTTCCCAAAGATTTTAATCTTTGTTAGACAGAGTGGCCAAGTTTGAAAAACTGAACTTGTCCAAATCAGGAAATCACTCTGATAAGCCCAAGAAGGCTAAGGCCCCGGATACTAGAAGGGGTGATGCCGACTCTACATTTTTCTCCTGAACCAACAAAGAAAAATAGATGATTTATAATGTAGATAAGGGCAAGCAACCAATGCAGTATGAAGAAAAGCCCAAACAGGCTTACAATCCTAACCCCCAACCGAAGCTGATACTTGGGGGAATGATAAGACACGAACTTATCAAGGTGGTGGAGAATGCCTGAGACAGGCAATATGAACTAGTGATAGAATATTCCAATCCCTTAAGGATAAAATGAATAATGAATATTCATTCAAGAGGGAGAGTTTTGCCAAATTATTTCAATAAGTGTTGAGAGAAGGTTTAGAACTGCCTGAATGTAAGAGGTCCGAAGAGTTAAAGCACACTAGTGACCCAAATTATTATCCATACCATCGGATACTTAGCCATCCTATTGAAGATTGCTACATCTTCAAGGATTGACTTGAAAGAAAATGTCAAAAGGGGGAACTCATATTATATGACAATATGCTATCTCAACCTAGAAAAGAATCAATTCGAGTAGTTATGACTTCTTCTATACCCCTGATTAAAGAAAGAAGAAAAGAAAAGGAGCCAACTCAAGAAGAGAAATGGGAGACTGCGGTCTCCAAGAAGACTGTGAAAAAGTTAAAACATCTTAAAAGAGTTCCAAGTATGAAATAGAAATCTCCTACGGAGCTAGTGTTAGATTTGAAAGCATTGCCTATGACACGAGCTTCTACTTCTAAACAATTCCCCAACCAAGCTGGCACTTCGAAGTCTGGAAGGGTGAAATCATCCAAGAAGAAGACCAAGCTGAAGAAACCCAAGGAGAAAAAGACTGCAACTTAGAGACTTATCAACAGTTTGATGAATATTATCAGACTGTGTGGCGACCTATCAAGCTCACTGACTTCATGTCAGAGCTTAAAATAGATGAAGCGGAAGAAGGTGATGAGAATTCTCTTCCAACTAAAATATGTCGGGTTATCTCAGTAACACCAAGTACCTCGATAAAAGAAGAATACACTGAAGAAGTACCCTCTAAATCCTATATGATGGTGTTGCCAATGGATTACAGTTCGGAGGAATACTTGTACTTTCCAGAGGAAGACGAATCAGACCCTAGCATAGCATGTTGGATGGGACATGTAAACCTGGGTGGTGACTCTGAATCAACAAATGAATCTCTATACATAATAATGGCCGACTCTGAAGAGAATGTGCAACTAAATGAGTCTGAGTTAGAAGAGATTGCACAAGTATAGTTGAGGAGTGGTAAGATACTACCGCCTCCACCGAAGAAAGGGGTCTCCA